TCATTTGGGGCTTAGGGAAGACATGCGGGAAAAGCTCCGGAGAAAGTCGGGGTCTCAGGGAAGGGGGCGGCGTCCTGGCGCCCAGCTGGGCCGCCCCTGGGTGGACGTGGGCCTGAGCAGCTTCACCAAGACTTGGCGGCGGTGGTGCTCTGGGTAGACTGAGTGTCCAGGTGTCTGGGGGGGACAGGGACCCCAAGCCAGGTGTGGTGCTCCCCTGGGGCCTGCTCAGCTCTGGACGCTCCTGCTGCTCCTCCAGTGTCCTGGTCCCCTCTGCCCTCTCCCACCTGACCCCGGACCCTCTCTCTAGGCTGCCGGGAGCCCACCCCGTCTGTCTCACCTGTGAGGCTAGTATCCTTCCCATGGACGCTCACCTCTGCTCTCGGGCCTGGACATCCGGCGCAGGGCCATAGCAGGCAGCAGAGGAGTTCTCTTCGCCAAGGGGCACTCACGTTGGGGAGGCCGCGCCCTGGGGGGGGGTGGGCAGAGTCCAGTGGTGAACCCCCTCAGGCCAAGGAAAGGCCAGTTCTGCAGGGGTGAGGAGGGAAGGGACGCTGGGGGTTGGGGAGAAGGGACGAAGGCCGTGGCTGGAAGCCCCCGGGGAAGCAGAGGTCAGAGATGGCACCGGGGTAGGGGACAGGGGCTGAAGCTTGGGGTGAGGCTGGCAGTAGTGCCTGGTCCAGCCTGCTCCAGAGTGGCCGTAAGGGCCCCACCCCCATCCCCTCTCTCCTCCCTCTGGCACCCAGCTGTCCCGCTGGACCGTGGGGTCCCTTCCCCTGGGGGTAAGTGCTCCTCTGAGTCAGGCCAGCCTGGAGCTCGGAGAGAGACCTCTGTCGCCCAGGGCTGACTGCTGCCTTGGGTGGGCCAAACGGGGTGACCCAGAGCCGTGCCCCCTCCCCACCCCTGTCGGACCCATGGGCACTGTATTCGCTGGGCCCTGCACCCCGACCCTGGACTGGTGACCCCAGAGCCTACTGCTTTTCACAGTGCAGGGCTGCAAGGCTTACTGACCCCATTGACAGATGGGGAGACTGAGTTGCTGCATCGGAGAGCGAGGGACGGGGTCCCCACCAGCCCCCCTCCCCCGCTCCGGGACCCAAGATGAGTGATTCCTCCCAGGTCCTGGGGGGCTTTCACCAGATTTCAGCCCATGGCTTCTCCTCCTTATGTTTGCTTTCGCTTTGGGGTCTCACCAGGCATTACCGGTGTGTGTGTGGGGGGAGCTACTCCCTGTCTGGTGCTCAGGAGGCACTCCTGGCAGTGCTGGAGGTTGACCCTCTGTTCCTGCCCTGACCTGCTTCCAGGACATGGGGTGCGGGGAGGGCGCAGGAGGAGAACAGGACACGGGTTTGCAGAGCACCTGGACTTTGGGGGTACCTCCATCCCTACGGGAACCACGCTCATGCTCCCCTGTTCCAGGCTGGAGGGGGTCCTCTGCCGTGCAGGACTGCCTGGTCTTAACACCCCTGTGTCCTGGGTGGGGAGCTCGGGCGCTCGGCTGGGTGAGGTGGCTGCAGGTGGGAAGGAAGCGGGTGGGATCGTCCCAGAGGCGGGACAGACCCCCAGGGACAGGCTCCACCATCCTCACACGGCTCCGGTCCAGCAGCAGGTGGGTTTCAGGCCCTGCCAGAGTCATTTCCCCTCCCCTGGACAGGGTTCCTGTCTGGGGCTTCAGCCCGCAGGAATGCAGGGGCCAACCCAGGACTCAGGGGAGGCATCAGGCAGGCTGTCCAGAGGGCCTGGAGGGAGCTTTCCCTTGGGGAAGGACAGGAGAGGGGAGCATTTGAATAGGCAGAACCTTCTAGAAGTTTCCAGAAGCTTCCTTCTGGAAATATGAAGAAAAGGAGGGTTCCTTCCTGGTTCTATTGACTATCAGTCTATGAAGTGCCTTGACCTGTGTGTGTGCACCTCAGTTTCTTCATCTGGACCATGGCGGCTCTAATGTACCCTGAGAACAGTATTCTGGAACACAGGCCCTCAGCCTCCAGCTCCAGGTCTCTGTGTTTGGGAAAGGTCAACTCTCCTCTCAGTCACTCCGGCCTGGCGTGGCCTCCCCTAGGCAGGGATGAGCTGTACCAGGGGCCCAAGGTCAGCCGCGGGGACAGTTAAGCTGCCAGGCACCCGGACACACGGTGGGCATGGCTGGGGCTCAGCACTGCCGGCCCTGGCAGCCTGTCAGACGCGGCGGCCCCCGCGGGAGCTGACTTGGCAGGGGCCGCCGGCCTGCCCCGGACACATGGGGGGCCCCCGGCGGCAGGTGCGGGCTCAGCTGAGGGCACCTCCCGGGAATGTGGGGGCCGGGCCAGGTCGGGTGGGTTCAGGCGTCTCCGGGGATCGTGAAGCCGGGCTAGGGTGGGCTCAGCCCTGTCTCCTGCACCCCCTGTCCCCTGATTCAGCCCCTGGGACTCTGCCAGTGCCCTTGGAGGGGTTGGCCCAGGCGTGGGCACACCGTGGCCTGCTGGGGAGCTGGAACAACAGTGGCTTGTTCCTAAGCCAGGCGGGTTGTTCTAGGTTGCCCAGTGCGTGTCCTCAGCCCCCCACCCCGTCCCCGTCTTCCAGGTGAAGAAACGCAAACATGCTCAGGATTCCAGTTCCAGAGGAAGTTTCTAGAAAGACCTAGAAACGTTCCCTGCCCACTCCTCTCCCTCTGCGCCCAATGCCTGTGGGCAGAGAGTGGGTGTCAGGCCTGGGCGGGCCCCCATTCAGGCACTCTCCTGCGTGGGCCGGCCCAGCTCCCCCCGCAGGCAGGGCTCCTCTCCTTGCGCTCAGTCCAGCTCCCTGCTGGCCGGGCCCTGGCCACAGGGATCTGCCTGGCCCGGCGTGGGAGAGACTGGCACTTGGCCGCCGCTGGACCGTGGGTTTGGCCCACAGGTGCCCGGCAGTGACGCCAGCCTGTCCTTTGTCACTTCGTGAGCTGTCGGGGCCCCGGGACTACTTAAAGGGCCGTGTCGGTGCTGGCCAGGCCTGCAGCGACTCGGGACCCCGCAGACGATGGTAGGCTGGGCTGCCCCACCCCGGCCTCTTTCCCTCTCACCCTTGCCTGGCCGTGGCATCCTTTGTGATGCCCTCCCCCACCCTGGCCTTGACCTCGCTCCTCTCTCTGACATCCTTGACCTTGACCTCACGTGGCCCTGACCTTTCCTTCTCCTTTCGTGACACATCCTGACCTGCCCCTTCCCAGTGATCCATTGACCCGTGTGGGCCCTAGTTTGAGGGTTTGGGGTCCTGGTTTGGGGGGCTGGAGACCCTGGTTTGGGGGCCCTGATTTGGGGGGGCTTAGGGGTCCTGGTTTGGGGAAACTGGAGACCCTGGTTTGGGGGGTTTTGGGGTCCTCGTTTGGGTTTCTGGTCTTCAGGATGTGGGGCTAACGGGGGGGGAGGGCAAGGAGGATTCAGTCTTGGAGGCCACAGCAGTGTGACCCCGCAGGGTGTGTGAGGTCAGATTTGGGGTGTGTGGGGTCAAGATCAGGACTCCAGACTGGGGTTCATCAACTTTGTTGGGGGATCCTCAACCACTCGGACCTCTGGGGGCCTTCCTAGCCCAGGACTGCTGCCGAGGTTTCTCTGCAGCCCCTCAACGTTCTAATGCATCAGTGTCCACCCTCCTCCATCCTACTGGCCTGAGGACTCTTCCCTGGTGGCTAATCTCAGCTCAGAGGCACCTCCTCCAGGAAGTCTGCCCTGAGTGGCAGCAGGGGTCTCAGATGCCGTCCCCTCCTTCACACCCCTCTCCCGATCATTCTTGAAGGAGGCTGACTCAGCCCTGGGTCCTCAGGGCCTGGCTGGAGGTCAGCCAGGGCCCTCATGCTAATTCTGAAACTTTGAGTTTTATACGTGAGCACTGAGGCTCCGAGCAGTCTTGATTCAGAGCTCGGGAGCACCCAGCGGGGACCCGGCTAATGTGGGGTGAGACGTCACCTCTGCCCACAGCGGGGCCTGTGGGGGAGTTTTTCTTTTGGGAGACACAGGGCAGCTGGCTGGAAGAGTCCCGACTCGAGGCAGGGCACTGGGCCTCAGTTTCCCCTGGAAGGCCAGAGAAAACCACCCCTCCTCTCTGGCGGGTGCTGGGGTGGGGGGGCGGCGCCCAGGAGGGACGGAGGGAGGCTGGGAGGCGCCCGACTCGCCAGCAGCACCTGAAGGACGGGGCGAGGCTGGGTGGGGGGCAAGGAGGCCGAGGGCAGGTCTGAGGGGAGAGGAGCCGAAGGGCCCCCCAGACGGAAGTGAGGGATTTTTATTAATCAGCGGGAAATGTATATGTAATTACGCGAGATGAACTCGGCGGGGAGGCTCTCTCCTTTATGATGTCTGAGGGGATTTATAAATATTACAGAGGCTTTACAGCATCTCCCAGCCCGGCCCTGCCAGCTCCTTTCAAAGGATTAGCGCAGACAAAGCGCCCACTGAAAGCTAATTATAAGTCAGCGATGCCTCTGCTGCGGGGTGCCAGCCCGGGAGGGGGGCCGTGCGGGGGTGGGGGAAGTTGGGGGGACAGGAGTGAGCCCGGCGGGGGAGGGGGACCACACAGGCACTGGGGGGCAGGAGAAGCTGGGCTCAGGGGCTGGGGTGGGGGCAGGGAGCGGGGCAGGGGCACCCACGCAGCAGCCCATTCGGAGAGCCGTCCCCCAGGGGGGCCGGGAGGTGACCCCCAGAGTATTCCCTGAGACCCCCGCTTCTTGGCAGAAACTGCAGCCCGGGAGGGTCAGGAGACCCTCGGGACACCAAGTGGCTGCCCACTCCCAGGCAGGGCTGTGGGGGCGGGGTTTTGGGGGGGTCGCGGCTTGCTCGGACCCCCACAGCTATTTCCAACTCCGCCCCACCCTGACCCCTGCAGCGGCTGCAGCTGGGGGGTCTCCAAGTTGGGGGGAGGGTCAGGGCTGCCTTTGCAGGTGGGACCCCAGGAACTGAGCATGAGGACAGGGTGGGGTTATGGGCGCAGTAGATCAGGGGTCGGAGGCTGTGGCCCCAGCAAGTCCCCCCCCCAACCTCCCCTTGTGCCCACAGGCTCCCCGAAGGGCCCGGAAGCGTGTGGAAGGCGGCGCCAGCTCCAACGTCTTCTCCATGTTCGACCAGAACCAGATCCAGGAGTTTAAGGAGGTGTCAGGCCTGGGGGCAGCCCAGCCTGGAGGGGTGGGGGGAGACTGGGGCCAAGGGTGTCCCCAGGAGCCCCCCTGCTCTCCCTGGGGAGTATGAGCTGCACACGAAGTCCCACTCTGCCGTGCATGACCACCTGCCCCAGCTAGTCCCCGGGGGTCTGTGGGCACGTTGGCTGGGCCAGGGGGCTCACTCGCCACCCCCCACCCCGTCTTCGCAGGCCTTCACCATCATGGACCAGAACCGTGATGGCTTCATCGACAAGGAGGACCTGAGGGACACCTTCGCTGCCCTGGGTGGGTGGCGGGCCGGGTGGCTGTCCCAGTGCACCGGGGAGCTCAGAGCAGGGGCACCCCAGTCTGGGAGCCCAGCAGAGACCCCTGGGGTCAGCCGATCCCGCAGGAGACAGGGTGTGGGGGCAGGAAGGTCCATGCACTAATAGGGGAGCCAAGGGGGGGGCGGTCCCTGGGAGCAGGGAAGGGTCTCCCCGGGACCCCAGGCTGCTGCCGGCACAGTGGGTCCACCCGTCTTGGGGTGCTGGAGGCTCCCTGTGATCTTCAGCTTCTGCTGCTTTGGCCTCAGTTTCCCCTCTGGGCCACAGCTGTTTTGCTGCCTTCGGAGAGGTGGGGGTGGCTTGCTAACGGGGGTGGGGGTCCAGCAGGCGGGAAGGCGGAGGCGGCGCCCTGTGCCCAGCTGGGCCTCCTGACTGTGGGCAGCGGTGGGGCCTCTGGCTCACTGTCCCCCACCCCCAGGCCGCATCAACGTGAGGAACGAGGAGCTGGAGGCCATGGTGCGGGAGGCCCCGGGGCCCATCAACTTCACCGTCTTCCTGACCATGTTTGGGGAGAAGCTGAAGGGTGAGGGGCCTGGGGCCCCGGGGAATGGGCTTGGGGGTGGTCAGGACCTGCCCCACCGGCCCTGTGGACACCAGGAGGAAGGTTCTGGAAGCCACTGTGACCCAGTCCGGGCAGGACATGGACCAGGGGAGGGTTGGGGGGGTCCCCACGCCCTGCCTCAGGCTTCCCTGTCCCGGGCTGCTGCAAAGGGACCCCAATTCGGCAATTTGTAGGGTCTGGAGGGCTTTGCTCCCAGCCAAGGAACCTCCTGCCAGGATCCGAGAGGAAAAGAGAACCCCCTCTTTGCCTCGCTCAGTGCTGGGGGCTTCCTCCAGCCTGTCCCTGGATTTAGTGACCCCCATGCCAGGCAGTCCAGAAAGATTTAGCCCGGGCCCTCCCTTCACCCACCAAGGCCCCCCATGCAGGAGAGACGGAGCTCCCTGGCAGTGTGTTGGAATGATCCCACCTAACAGCGTGGGTTCGGCTTGATGAAAATCCTAACACCCTCCTGGGGGCGGGGGGGCTGAACGAGCACCCCAGCCAGGGCCTCCTGTCCTGGGGATGACCGTGGCCTTGGGGCTCCCCGACCCCTGGGCAGCAGGTGGAGGGGGGCCCTGCAGCGAGGCGCGGAGGTTCTGGCCAGGCCGGGAGCCGGTCCCCCAGGAGACTGCGCTAGCTCCAGGCACCTCACTTCACTGGGGCGGTTATGGGGGACCCACACCTGGCAGGGCTTCGGGGGCATGCAGGACTGTAACCCAGAGCCTCGCAGGGGACGGGGGCGGGGGGACACACGGCCCTAGTCAAGGCACCCCCAGACCATCTCTGGGGTGAAGGAGAATCTGTGGGGGCGATCTCAGAGAGCAGTGCAGTTCCTCTTCCCGGCCCTGACAGGCCTCTGAGACCCCAGGAGGCCAACTGCCCCCAGCCCACCTGCTCTCTGGCCGGGCAGACCGGGAGCACTGTCCGCAGAGCCCTGGGCGGCCTCCAGTGGCTCCTGGCCTGCAGTTAGACGCTGGTGAGGTGACCTAGGCACCATCCCGTCCCACACAAGGTGACAACTAGGGAGGACACAGCTGACCGAACCCAATCTGATGGGGGAGTCCTAACTAGCCCTGATCCAGACTGATGGGGAGGCAAGCTGGCCTGACAGTCAGAGGGAGAGGGAAACACTTATGCGTCTATGGGGCAGACAGAGGTGCTCTAGTCTGATGGGGGAGGCAGGGGAGAGGGAGCACCTAACCAGAGGGAGGAGCCGGATTGTGGCAGACAAGGGGGGGGGGGCTCTTGGGAGGTCCCATAATCTTGGCCTCACACCTGCCCCTTATTAGTGGAGGCTTGTAGGCAGACAGAGCCTGTTTCTGGGCAGGGGAGCGGCGGGGGGGGGGGGGCGGTCTGGGCCAGAGCACCAGGCCTGATGGTGGCAGACCCATGCCTGGGCGTGGCCCCAAGCCTGTCCTCCTGCATGCCCCCAGGAACAGACCCCGAGGAGACCATCCTCCACGCCTTCAAGGTCTTCGACGCGGAGGGGAAGGGCTTCGTCAAGGCCGACTTGTGAGTGCCAAGCGTCCAGCTGCAGGAGCGTCCCCCCCCCCCCCTCAGGGCCCCAGGGTCCTCGTGAGCGGGTGTCAGGCCTGCAGGGGACAGAGCGGGTAGGGCCCCGAGGTGGGGGGGGGGGGGTGGGAGCAGACCTCGAAGGGTGACCGGGGAGCATTTGAGCAGGAGCGCAGGTGAGGAGAGGGTGGGTGGAAGGGGGCAGTGCAGACAGGTGGACAGGACACGGAGTGGGAGCCCCTTTCTACCCTGCGGCTGAGAGGTTGGAGAAGGGTCAAGCAGCGGCACCCTGGAGGCCAGCCTGGAGGGGGTGAGAAGCTGCAGTGCCAGGAGGTCGCGGTGGGGGCAGAGGTCTACAGGCAGGTTGGTGGGCTCAGGGTGGGGACAGGAAGCACTGACAGGACCAGAGTTGGGGGGCAGGAAGGTCCCAGACTGACAGAGGGTGGAGGCAGGGCCATGGAAATGGGGGGTTGAGGGGGGGGCTCTGGGCCATCTGGCACGGGGCACGGCTGGGGGACTGGAGAGACACCCACCCCAGCCGCTCCCATGGGCCCCCAGAAAGCCTCTCGACCCCACCCGGGACACCCCTCCACTGCAGCCCTCCCCATCTCGGAGGTCAGTAGGGTCAGGGGAACACAGGACTCTGGCCTGGGGGCCGGCACCTGCAACCCCCCCACCTACTCCATCCCGCACAGCATCAAGGAGAAGCTCATGACCCAGGCTGACCGCTTCAGCGAGGATGAGGCAAGTGGTCACTTCTCAGGAGGGGTCTTCCGGGGTGCAGCCTGCCCAGCCCTCCTTGCCCCCCCCCCCCGAGTCAAAGATCCCCCTTGCGTCCTGCCTTGAGGTCAGGGCACTGCCTTTCAGCTGCAAAGAGTGGGGCCCTGGCTGTGGCCCCCGGGAGCCAGGCCCTGCTGAGACCCCGCTCCCCCACACCCCACCACCAGATCAAGCAGATGTTCGCGGCGTTCCCTCCAGACGTATGCGGCAATGTGGACTACCGGAGCCTGTGTTACATCATCACGCACGGCGAGGAGAAGGACTAGCACACCTGGCGGGACCCCCGTGGGGGGCCGAACACAGGACGCACCTCTCACCCCAGAGATCTGGGGCCGCAGCAAAATAAACCTTGCGAAGAGTTCTGAGCATCTGTGATTTGCGTTGTTTGTGAGGCAATGGGGGGGGGGGGGGGGGGAACCCGGGGAACATTCCCAAGCGGGTGGTTTTTCCAAAACCGCTTTTCTTCCCTGGCTTGTTTCGAATGTTCCCGGCTGATGAGCTGCTGCTTGGAACTAGCCGGCAGCAGGGACGGACTCCAGCTGGCCCAGGACACGGCTGGCACCAGGAAACTTTTATTGAGCACCTACTGAGAGTCGGAACCAACATCTCTGAGGAGGAGGACGAGCGAGCGTCAAGCCTGGGGCCGTCCTGCAGGGGAGGGGGGTGGCCATCAAGGAGGTTTGGGAGCAAAACAAAACACTCCTGCTTGGCCTTTAAGGACAGGCATGACAGGCGGGCCAGCAGGCAGTGACCGGGCAGACCCTGACAGAGCTGGGCGGGAACACAGCAGCTTCAGCGCTGGGTGGCATGTGGCCAACCCGGGTGTGATTCCCAACTCCCTAAATGATTAACACAAACAAACACAAAAGTTCCCCACTCTTCAAGGATACCCTTAAAAAATGCTTTCCAGGGACCAGAGAGATAACACAGCCGTAGGACACTCACCTGACACACAGTCAACCCAGGTTCTATCCCCGGCACCTCAAACAGCACCCTGAGCACCTCCAGGAGTGACCCCTGAGCGGAGAGCCAGGAATAACCCCTGAGCACTGCAGGGTGTGGCCCCCAAACCAGGGAGAAAAAAAAACCCTTCCCATTGACAACGAAAACAAGCAAACAGCCCCACAGAGTTGCCTGGTGGAAGGAAGCGGTAGAGAAAGCTCTGGAAGCTACTGGGATTCTCATTCCCCCAGAAACAGGAAAAGAACATCCTTAAGGCACCTCCTGCCCTAAATCACTCGAAAAAAGCCACAGGGCCAAGGGTCCGCAGGGACGTGTGAATTCCTGGGTGCTAGGAGGGTGAAGGGGGCAGCGGGAGTCCAGGGGTTGCTCCATCCCCAGCCCAGCAGCAGGACAGAGAGCCATGGAAGCACCCCAGGAGGGGCAACTTCACAGGACAGTGGCCTCAGGGGTCTCAGACGCGTGCCACACACGGAGGCCACGAAGGGCCGGACGCAGAGCGCACCCCGCCGAGCTGCTTGGCCATGTCATCAGGATTGGTGACATGGTCAACAGGTTTGCCACGTGCAAGGCCAGACAGTCCCCGGGAGCCACCACCTCGGGGCACATGCTCGGGTGTGTCCCCGTCAGCTCGGTCTAGGATGTTCTCTGCAGCCCCCATGGATTTCACTGGTGTCTCATCACGCTCACGTCACACCCCTGCACCCAGGCCTGGCCTGCTCCCGTCTGGGAATTCGCCTTCCATTTCCAAGGGAAATCAGCATCCTATGCCTGGATTCTTTTTCTTTTTTTCCCCTGGAGAAGGTGGGGAGTGTTGAGCCACTCCTGACAGTGCTCAGGCTGACTCCTGGAATTGTGCTCAGGGATGACTGCTGGCAGTGCTCAGGGGACCCTGTGGGATTCTGGGGAGTGAACTCAGGGCAGCCCTCATGGAAGGCAAACTCCCTCCTTGCTGTACTGGCCCCAGAAACTTGCTTACTTGCAGTTTTTCTTTTTTTTTTTTCTTCCTTCCTTCTTTCTTTCCTTTCTTCTTTCCTTCTTTTCTTTCTTTTATTGGGTCATACCCAGCAATGCTCAAGTCTTACTCCTGGCGCTGCACTCAGGAATTACCTCTGGTGGTGCTGAGGAGATGCTATGGGATGCCGGGGATCAAACCCAGGTTTGCCGTGTGCAAGGCAAACACACTCTGGGCCCTACACTCGTTTTCCAGCAGGCATTTGCCAACCTCTCCCATTCTGCCGGCTGCCTGCCTTGTCGCAGCAAGTTGATTAATGCCTGGATTCATGTCTAAAGGGGGGTGGTTTGGGGCCGAAGGACAGCACAGTGGGGAGGGTGTTTGCCTTTCATGCGGCTGACCCGAATTCAATCCCCAGCATCCCATATGGTCCCCTGAGCACCACCAGGAGTAATTCCTGAGTGCAGAGCCAGGAGTAACTCCTGAGCATTGTAGGGTATGACCCAAAAAGCAAATAAGTAAATAAATTTAAAACTTTAAAAAAAAAATTAAAGGGGGGGGGGTGGTTTTCGTTTTCAAAACCAGGACTCGAGTCCTTTTGAGCACTTCTCTGTCAAACATGGTGTGAGGTAGGGATCTAACTTCTTTTTCTTTCTTTTTTTTTCTGCTGTTCCAGTTCCCTCCCATCACTGCTCCCTGAGTCCTTAACATCACTGACCAGGGAGGTGCATCAGCTTGTTCCTAGTCCCCTGAGCTCTCTGTCTTGAATGGCATACTTCAGGATCCATTTACACAGCTGCGTTCAAAAGTGGTGGAAGTCACGGGGTTAGGCTGAATAACGGTCACCTCAGGGGTCACCTCGAGGAGGAGGAGGGCTGAGAGAAACAGGCACTTCGAATCTTGGTCTAGATGGTGGGTGCTCAGGCAGAGACACTCATCTTGGTGGGGAACGGAGGGTGGAGGGAGAGGAGGGAAGGAGAGAGGGAGAGGAGGAAGGGGAAGAGAGGAAGGAAGGAGGAGGAAGGGAAGAGAGACAAGGGAGGAGGAAGGGAGGGAAATGAGGGAGGTAAGGAGGGACAGAATGATGAGGGACAGATGGGAAGGGAGGAGGGTGGGGAGGAGGGAGCAGAGAGGAGACAGGAGAGCCACGTCAGTGGTGGGGGGCAGGTAGATGGGGTGGGAGTCTTTGGGGTCGGGGGGACTCTGGGAAGTGGGGATTGACTCTGGGAGCATCTGTGCTCACCTTGGGCTTTGCTGACCATGATGGGGAGTCCCGGGCCCCCCTGGCTGCAAAGCCAGACCTGGGGGAGCCTGTCGGGGCCCGGCAGGTTGGGTGAGGAGAGTTGGAGCTGGAGACCTCGGAGCTAGGGGGCCCGGGACAGGGAGAGGTGGGCACGGAGGGCGGAAGGCTAGGTGGGGGCAGGACCAGGAGGAGAGAGGCCCGGTGTTGGTCGAGTGCCCAGGCCTTGCTGCCATGGAGGAAGCAGGAGGCCCCAGGGAAGCCTGGGCACTTCCTACAGCCACGGGCACGGAGGGCGGCCCTGGGCTCAGTGCCCCTCGGGGGAGGGCCCCCACCTCAGGACTCGAGGGGCAAAGTCTGCGAGGATGGGTGGCTGGCTGGGATGCTGGTGGGTCCCCACCCCGCCTGGCTCCTTATTGCTCTCCGATCACTCAGAGATCCTTCCTGGAAAGACGCTGCCGGAACCTGCCAGACCTGTTAGCGGCAAAGACCCAGGGTCAGGACAGAAGGTGACACCAGGCAGCTGCTCCCACACCCCCCGGAACCCTGCAGGGACCCCCAGGGGAGGTTCATGCAGCTGTAGTCTAGGTAGTCTGGGTCCTTTCCACGGGCCTCATGAAGAAAGACGGGTGTCTCCCCGGAAGCGCCAGCAGGTCTCACAGGGGCCCCTTCCTCCACTGATGCCCTGGAGGTCTTCATTCCCCTTCCTGCAGCCGCCTTCAGCACCCACAACCTCCCAAGGAGACAGGAATACCCAGGAGCATCCACAGAGCCCCCCATCCTGGGTGCAGGCAGAGGGCACCGAGAGCACGAGGAAGATGTATACAGGCCTCTCAGGAGCCAGCAGTCACTGCAGGGCTGCAGGAAGGTCAGGGCCTCCTGGCACAGCTGCAGCCACAAACCTCAGTGCCCATGGCCACAGGAACTTTGCATAGGCTCCTGCAGACCAATACCCCTGTATGATCCCCAGACCCGTCAATAGATACCTAGAACCCTGAGTATGATGCCCAGAACCCTGAGTATGAAGCTTAGAACCCTGTGTATGATGTCCAGAACCCCAGAATGATGCCCAGAACCCTACGGATGATGCCCCAAGCCCCCCAGTATGATGCCCAGAATCCTAGGATGATGCCCAGAATCTCAGGAAGATGCTCAGAACCCCAGGGTGAACCCCAGAACCCCAGGATGATGCCCAGAACCCCGAGTATGATGCCCAAAACCCCGAGTATGATGCCCAGAACCCCAGGATGATGCCCAAAATCACCCAGTATGATGCCCAGAATTCTAGGATGATGCCCAGAACCCCAGGATGATACCCAGAACCATCCAGGATGATGCCCAGAACCCCGAGTATGATGCCCCGAACCCCAGGATGATGCCCAGAACCCTGAGTACGAAGCTTAGAACCCCATGTATGATGTCCAGAACCCCAGAATGATGCCCAGAACCCCAAGGTGATGCCTAGAACCCTAGGATGATGTCCAGAACCCCAGAATGATGTCCAGAACCCTACGGATGATGCCCCAAGCCCCCCAGTATGATGCCCAGAATCCTAGGATGATGCCCAAAATCTCAGGATGATGCTCAGAACCCCAGGGTGAACCCCAGAACCCCAGGATGATGCCCAGAACTCCAAGTATGATGCCCAAAACCCCAGGATGATGCCCAGAACCCCAGGATGATGCCCAGAACCCCCCAGTATGATGCCCAGAATTCTAGGATGATGCCCAGAACCCCAGGATGATACCCAGAACCACCCAGGATGATGCCCAGAACCCTGAGTATGAAGCTTAGAACCCCGTATACGATGTCCAGAACCCCAGGATGATGCCCAGAACCCCAGGATGATGCCCAGAACCCCCCAGTATGATGCCCAGAATTCTAGGATGATGCCCAGAACCCCAGGATGATACCCAGAACCACCCAGGATGATGCCCAGAACCCTGAGTATGAAGCTTAGAACCCCGTATACGATGTCCAGAACCCCAGGATGATGCCCAAAACCCCAGGATGATGCCCAGAACCACCCAGTATGATGCCCAAAATTCTAGGATGATGCCCAGAACCCCAGGGCGATGCCCAGAACCCCAGGATGATACCCAGAACCCCAG